ATCAATTTTTGGACTTGGCAAACAAATAATATCACAATCGGAGCATATCGAACCCTTCAATCAGCTATTGTTTAACTTCAGCTAAATAAACAGTAAAATTTAGGCTTTAAGGAGTGACAACAGAGATGGGTGGCAAAATGAAAAAAAGATTCTTTATTTTATTCCATCTCCGTCTTCGCCTTTTTTTTTTTGCTTACATTTTCTTCACCACTCTTTTTTCAATCTTCTATTTCAATTTTTTTTTTTGGTGAATCGACAAGCACATAAATTTTCATGCTGAAAAAAAAAGTGCGAAAAAATGTTATTGTCTTTTTTGCTCATATTTTTAGAAGAAGTTTATCAATGAAAAAAGCTAAAATTTAAAGATTGTTTTCTTTTTTTTTACTAAACTTTCAAACTTTCTGAAATTTTAACTGTACAAAACAAAAAGAGGTCTAGACTATGGGTATTTAATCAAATTATTCAGTTACCGTTTTCCAGTTCAAAATTTTCCTTCATTTTCTTCCATTTTGAACAACAGCAACATCAGAATAAACTCAATCAACAATAATCAACAATAAAAAAGTAGCCCATTATTGCAAAAGAAAAGGAATATATATATATATATATATATATATATAAGATTTTGGAAAGAAAAAAAGGCATTACGACATATCGAATAAACATAAATTGTTCGTTGCAAAAACGAAAAACTGTTTAATTACTTTCCCTCTTTTTTTTTTGCCTTTATGTTCTTTTTTTTGAATTTTTTTTATTAAGATTGATCAAACATCAAAATAAAAGAAAAAAAAAAGTTGAGAACAAGGAATATTTCTGTTTTGATTTTTTTTTTTTTGCCTCTTCATTGCCTTTCTCAACAAAAACCCCAGCATTGAACGAACGGAGGTAACAGTGAAAAAGAAATGCTGTCATAAGTGTTCAAATTTAATGCTAGCAAAAAATAAATTGGAAGAAAATGGGAAAAATTCAACAGAACCAAAAATGGACCCGTAAAAGAAATCAACAAAAAAGAAAAAAAAAAAGGAAAAGGGAAAAAACTGAAGACAGCAATAGATAAACAGCATAAAATATTATTCAGCATTTTTAGTAACAAAAGATCAATACTGCTGATACCGCTGATCAATAATTTCATAATCTTTCCCTCTCTTTCTTGCTTGCTTTTAGACTGATCTTAAACATCTGTCCTTTCATTCTGGTCTAACCAAGTCAAAACTAAGTCAAAATTACAACTTCCGTAGTTTGCTTTTCAATTATTGCAATCCTCAACTTCTCCCTGTTCCTCCCTTTTCCTTTTTTCTGCACCTTTTTGCCTTTCAGTCAAACATGTCTCCACTTTAGTCTGGCCCCAAAAAGAAAAAAAAAATATTCAAAAAGAGAAATCCAGAAAGGAGAAGAAGAATTAAAAAAAAAA